TGACGAAAGTTACAACATGCATGCCTGATCGATGGAAAGTAACTATTTTCTGATGGCAATTCAACATGGCATGATTATAATCTAACCAATCCATACCCAAGATAACATCTAAATCAACGATATCCAAGGGAACAAGATCAGCTGGCATTACGACATCCTCGATAAGGATGGGACATCCTCGGTACTCCCAACTAATGTAACAAGTTTCACCCTTAGGCATCGATAACTCCAAATCAGAACCGAGGGGAGTGGGGTGATGTTGAGTCTTTTGAGCAAACATATGGGAAATGATCGCATGAGTAGCACCTGAATCAATTAAAATTCTAGCAAAATGGCCAAGAACATTCAACATACCCATAATCAAGTCGGGGTTACCCTAGGTGATGTTGTTGAGGCGATCTTGCATTTGCTGTCTACCTCTTCGACCCCTGTTTACCTGGTTGCCGCATCCCTAATTACCTCAACCTTGGTTGGTTTGATTAGTTTGCCTGGTCGAGCCACCACTGCTAGAAGCTACATCAACATTCTGGTACTGTCATTCAGCATACCACTGTGTTCCGTCACCCTGATACGGCATATAACCCTCTGGAGCTGTGGATAGCCACCCTGGTAATAGGGAACATTAGGCAGGGATTGATACACTCATTATGGATGCTGGGTTACATCACCTTGGTAATGGAAAACACCACCATAACCTATTTGCTGGTAGGTACCAGGTTCTGGAATCTGTTGGAGAGGAATTGCAGGTGGTAGAGTAGGAGGTTAAGGTTTTTGATTCTGAGGGCATTGATTAGCTCTGTGCCCTATCTGACCACAAGTATAGCACCCACTATTTCCCTTTTTACACTCACCGAAATGACGATTAGTGCATTTGTGACAGAGCGAAGCACCAGAAAGTGGGAATTGCCTATGACTTGTCGCCCTTTTGCGGCGTATTGGAACTTGAACCACTGCTCGACGATCCAGAACTATTACCACTTATCTTGAAATTTTGAGTTCTTCAAGGACCAAAGGATGATTGCCCCCTGTTATTATTCCTTTGGTTATTACTGTTATCATCATCATCATCATCATTAGGAGTATTCTCAGAATCTTTAACACGAAGCAGAACCTCAAAGAATTCTTGGTAGGTGGAGCATGGAGTATAAGTTGCCAAAGAACGCAGTTGCTTACCAGTCCATTTCTTAAAATAATGGAGCATCTCTTTGGGATTCCCAGCGATCTCGGGACAATAACGGGATAAGTCAGTGAATTTTCAATGGTACTCTATGACTGACATTTTACCTTGCTTCAACTCTGTGAATTCTTTTCTCTTTCGATCCTTGAACTCCGGAGGTGTGAATCTAGCCTTAAATAGGCGCCTGAAAACATCCAAATTTGTGACATCTTAAGCAGACAATGGGCGTGACTCCTGACCCCACCATGATCCAGCTCCCAGACGGAAAAACCAAGTCGCTGTCTCGACCCATTTCTCTGTTAGAAGATTCCCTTGTCGCTGCATAACGCAGAAAGTTTTTACAACATGGTTGATCCAAACCTTGAATTTCTCAGGTCCTTTATTGCCAAACAAAATATTTATCTGAAGATGAGACATGGTCTCTAGGGTAGTCTTCTAAGGAGGATGAAGTGTGGACTAAATGGCGCTGGTGATGGCCTTATCGAGTTGCCCAAAATTGGGAAAATTAGTCTCATGAGGGACAAGTGGTGCTTTACATGGTGGCATGATTTTGACATAAGGGATAAAAAATTATTAGAACCTATAGCACATACAAAGGATGCAGGACTGCCAAACTTATGCTCTAATACTAAACTGACACAACCCGACCGAAGTCGAGGCGTGCTGGCTGACACCCGAAGGTGACGTAACCATAAAGGAAAGTGATGCATAAAAATATGGATAAATTTAAATCGAAACTAGGATTTATTTAAGCTAGTAAAATGTGTGTGCAGTAGTGGGAAGAACCCAAAAAACACAAATGTTCATAGCATAGGTAATGCAGTCGAAACTAGTTAAGTACTTAATACAGAACAGGAACAATTCCTACATTTAATTATAGATATGTCAGAACCATCGGAGATTCCTTATATGTCACAGAGAGTTCAGCTATCTAAGACCCGGAGGGGCGAAAAACAGAAGGGTGAGTGGGCAAAAACAAAGGTTTATAAAACACATTTATTATCTGAACATACTAACCCCTCACTGTAAAACATGTATAGTTTCCAGAAAATCATACTATGTATAAGTATGAAATCAAATGCAAATCAACAATAATTCCAAAAATATGATAATCACAATATCTCAATAGCAGCATAATAAAATCAGATGCTCATCGATCTATGCTACCACACAAGTCAGAGTCGCCTAATGCAACCTGTATGACAGGATTGGGTGTAATAATAATATGCGCTTTAGTGCTACAATTACGTGAAGACTGGCGTTATTCATGGTCACATACGAGTTGGAGTTGCTTATTGCAACCTGTACGACAAGATGTTGAAGTTGCCTATTGCAACCTGCACGACATGACTTGCACCTACTTGGATCCAAGGCGAGTGTGCGGTGCGGATGTGAACATACATGCGAGAGACTAGCCTTGGCCCTGGGCGAGCACTAACACCGTGTGCAGCAATGATGAGCAAACTACATAAATATAAGCATGCCATAACAATTTAAAATTCTAGTCAACATAATAAACTTACTTGCGCATCCCGTAGTATTACTTTAGCATTTCACAACAGTACAACATTTCTTATAAAATTATTTAATCATGGCATAATAGGCATGAATCAATTCAAAAGCATTTGTGGAAAGTATAAAACTTTATATATCATATATATAAAAACAAATGCCCACTCACTGATACGTGGTCGGATTGTAGCCTCCTTGCCTTACTTGAACTCGTACTTTTTCAGGATAATTTTCTCCTATATGTGAAATAACTAAAATAATTAATTAATTAATTAATTAACATATACACAAAGAGGCTAGGATAAACCCCCATAGTTTGCTCAAATGGAGGGTTTAAATATACGAAAATGTTCTACTCGATGTCACAGACTCGTACATGTCAAGCACACACTGGCCGGAGGCCATACGCGCGCCCACGCGCTGGTCAAAAACTGATAGACCTAGGGAATATTTCGTCGGACTTGACAGAATATTTCGTTAAATAGTAACGAAACCTAACGGCGTCAGAATATTCTCTCAACTTTGACGGAATATTCTCCTTCTTCTCAGGTGGCTTCTGTCGTCCGCCGCTGTCTGGTTTCCCTGAAAACTGGAAAAAGTCACCGGTTTCTAGAAATTTTTTCAAAACATCATAACTTGCTCATTTCTCAACCCTTTTCAACGCACTATATATTGACTTGAAGCTCTTGAGGACAAAACAAGATTGTACCTTTCAAAGTCTAAAAGGTGGACGAAAGTGGCTTGAAAAAGCCTCGAAAGGTTCAGACTTATTTTCTTCGCCTTGAAACCATGTGTTTCCATGTCAACTCAACTTTAAACTTAGGCTATTGACTCGAGGGAGTTGTGTGGAGGCTTCCAAACGTCCCAAAAGCTTGTAACTCAGTCGGGAACACGTCGGGGAAAACTTGATCGAGTCGGAGCTTCTGAGTTGGGTGTTCAAGACTCAACCATTTCACGATTGGTTTGTATGGTTGGGTTCATAAGGATGGGAGAAGTGTGATGGAGGAAATCCGTGGAGTTTGGTGGTTGATCTTAGTGGTTGTAGAGAAGAGAGAGTCTTGGCATAGAGAGAGAAGTATTAGAAGAAAGAGAGAAGATGAGTTCTGATTCGCTGAGAAGAAGAAAAATCTGATTGGGTGCAATAGTGTGGGAAAGTAATTGATTGGTGGTGAGGAAAAGGGCATGGGTCCAATTTTTAAAAGAAGAAGCGGATAAGATTTTCCGATTTTGTACAGTAAGTCGTACATAAAAAATCTATCTCCTTATCAATAATAGTGTCTCCCACACTGATAAATTAACACACGCGTGTACCAAATTTTCCCGTTGTTAACGTACTTTAACTGTGCATAACTTTTTCGTTACAGCTCCGATTCGGGTCTAACTCGCGCTCACGCATTTGTAACAACAAGTACTATTTAATTACGATAACGAGAAAAATAATTTAAGAGTCAAATAACTACATCCACGTCAGGTTTCACTTTTGCCAAAAAGGACAAACATCAATTTACACACTTAGGGAGAAAGTTACATGAAAAATTAGGGACGAGTCATCACAGACTTACCAAATTCTGTTCTTGGAGAAGAATCCTCCTCTAGCTACTATGAAGATGACCTAAAGTGTGACACAGATCCAATGGCTTTTAGCGAGATGGGGGATAAAGAATTGCTAGACTTAGTTGATAAGGAAGATCCTCTTGTGGGCTCAAAAAGAAGATCTAGAAGCCTTTCGTACATGTACCAAGTTGGTGTCTCATCCGACCCTTATTAGATCTTCCTCCGGTTCTGAGAAATCGGTAGAGTGGGGGATTGAATCTTACTAAGATGTTGACCCTTTGTGGAAACCGCCAAAAAAAAAAAAAAAAAATTATCAGCCGTGGCCAAAGTTCTCTTCCTTAGAGAGGAGTTGGCATAGGAATAGAAGAGTCTTTTTGTAAAAACTGTATTTTAATTATTACGACGCTTGAGACCGTAGTGTCGACCACATTCCCAGCATCATAACCCATTTGGAAGAGTTGAAGAACCAATATAGCATTCCCAACGATGTTGTCATGTGAGCACCAGTTGTAGGAGAATAACCTAGCCAGCCACCACACAATTGGGTAGCCTTTTCTGCTAAACTCTTCAAGTCTAGCATTCGGCTACCTTTACACTCATTCCTTCACCGTGTTATAGTCCACACCAATTTAGCCCCCACTAAATCAATCTTAATGCCTTTTGTCTCTTTCTTAGCATGTACATGCTCTGGTGGCAATATTTTCAAGTAAATCCCAACCTTACCCTCATCAGACATTGTTATAAACTAAGGAACAGTCTTGGCCATGTTGGGTTTTATCATGTGTTCGGTCTTGCTTGCTTTTGCCGACAACCCTTCAAACTAAAGGCCCTATAAGGAAAACTGGTTCCTTGTAAACGGTAACTGGGTTAGCTCGACTGAGGTCAAGGCGACTGGCGCTCGAGTCGCTAGATGCTTTAGGGACAAGGGTTGAAACAAAACTAACACTTTCCATATCTCGTGGTCTGTATGAGTCTTCTAATTTAACGAAAATATCTTCTTTTTTTGTAGTTGATTAGTTTGGCCAAGTTTCTTTTTCTGAAGAAGAAGAATTTCAGTTGACAGTCATCACTTCCTTGCCTTCTAAAGAGCTTTCCATTGCCACCATACATACCGAATCTCGTTTAAGAATGATTGATCTTTTAGGAGGTAAACTAACCAAACCTCAATGCCTTCATCTATGGTCTGGTCTTGGTGGATTTATATTATTTGTTGCTCATTTTTTCAACACTTCTTTTCACTTTACAAATGGAGAAATGGATGTTCAAGTTGAAAAGATCGCCCGCCGAGCTATGCACAAAAAGAACGCTCCCAGTGGCGTTTAAAAGTAGATAGTCGCTTGAGGTGTTGGTAAGAGCGGGCCAAACACTTAGCTTGCCAGTCCCGACCTACTTCTAAAGGTGGTATTGAGTACTCCTCCGAGTGCGGGGAGGGACAAATCCTCGGGCAAGTGCCCGATTACTGGCGGCTCGGACGCCCCTACTGCAAGAGGCTGGCGGTTGTTTCTTCCGCCCCTTAGCGGTTATAGGTAGGATCCAACCTATGTGATTGTCGTGTGCTTTGAGGATGCATTTCCCCAAGAGATTTACTCATACTTGAACATCCGTAAGGGAGTCTTTCATGGGGAGAGCATCGCGGACGCCATGCGAGGTTTGAAGGGGACACCCATGAACAGGTGGCCCTTGCTTTGATCTTCAGGCTGGGGTAAACTTTCATCAGGTTCCATGTTTCCCTCATGCATGTAATGATCTATACAATTTTTCCTTTAGCTAATCTTCATTATTTTTCCCTTCGCAGGCTCTTTTCGCCAATTTTGAAGGCTTAGACACCTCTTCAAGAAGAGAAAACAGAGCGCCAATTACGAGCGAGACATGAAGAGGTTGCAAGATACTGTGAAGGCCAAACAGATGGAGTTCGGATCCACCAAGAAGGTTGTTAAGGCGGCTAAGAAAGAGGCTGCTCAACTGCAGATGAAGACCAAGTGCATGAGAAAGCAGTTGAGCGAATCTTCCACAAGCAAGCTCAAGACTACCATGGAGTTGGGCGAGGCTTAAGATGCCGCTTAGGCTTTGAGGAAGGAGAACAAATGCATGCAAAAGGACTTGGATGAATCCTCCTAGGTTGGTGGTTAAGACATGGACAACTACTTTTAAATTCCGATTGGCCAGGAGCTCGCCAACAAACTCCGCTTCCAAGGCTACGTGGAGTTCTACAAAAAGGTGAATTTGACCTATCCTGACTACGACCTAGATGTAGGGGACGACGAGGATGGCTCTGAGCATGATGAAGATAATAAGGTTCTCATGGTTGTTAGTGGAAATGGTGTTCGCATAAAGATGTTGGTAGAAAGGGTGTTCGCATAAAGTTGCTGGTGAAAATGGTGTTTGCAAAAAGTTGCTCATTGAAATTGTGGTGCATGACGCTGCTTAGCATGTAAGACTATAGTGGAAACAGTTGGATAGGGAAACAACTAAATCTAGGCGGGGAAGCGGTAGTTATAGTAAACAATCGACATGGTGTTTGGCAACCAACTTAAACCTTAAAAGGTATAGGGTGTAGGCATTGTTGATTTTGCCTAAGGTTTCTTGAGTCAATTATAATGCTTGAATTTCTTGAATTACTTGAGGCTGATTAATGCTTGGGACTTGCTCGATATGTTGAAATACATACAGCTAGGAATTCTTGAATCAGCATACTTGCATGGCTTAAAGTACTCAAATCTGTTGCTTGAACCATTGGTGCAGGAAATACCATTTTTTCTGCCATTCGAAAGCATTTCAGTCGCAAGGTTAACAGATTAGTATGCACTCGTACTTCACGTGATTAGCATGTTTGTTGTTGGCACTACAAGTTTGATTTAACTTATCTAGCCTTGCTGGGTGTGAGTTTTTGCACATATTGCATTGATAAGCTTGCTTGTTTTCTTCTTTCCGGCAATAAATATGTATGCTTGTAGTGGAGAATATATAGTTTAGGCTTAGTACTCGAGCTGTTCATGAAAGTTTTAGCTCCAAACATGACCTAACAAGATATATTTGAGCATTAACAAATATGTTGGTCACATGAGCAAACTTCTAGCATGTCAGTTAACTCATGTAGTGAGCCGTTACATACTCAGTGGGCATGGTAAGCATTGAGTGAAACTATGAAATAAAAATACATGCAATCATCTGTAGAGCGAGCAATGCAAGTCTTAACTATTTAATGATTTTAGGCATGATAAGTATGCCTGGAGAACCAATTTATGCATGCCTATGCACCTTCTTGACAAAAGAAATTAATACACTCCAATCATAACTTATATAAATTGATGGCATGGCATATATAAACTTGATCGTAATTTATATTATAAGCATGCTTTATGTGTATAACGAGCAATTTATGCATTAAAGATAGGCATCCAATTGACTCTGTAAACACATGGTATTGAAATGAAATCAGTGGAAGATAAGGTTTAATGATTTTCTTATCTCTTGGGGCAGACATAGGCCACACGGTTGAGGTCTAGCTGAGACAGTGCCCAACATGAATGACTTTTAACTTTCTGGCAGCGAGTTTCGCACTCTCCAGCATTGAATGCCAACTTGGGCTTTGTTGTGAACATAGATTTTTATCTTTTCCCCTTGGAATTTGCAGGTTGCACCACTTTTGCTTGGCGTGGAATTGCTTGTCTGGCTTTGGTTGGCTTGGTTTTGCTTTGATGTGCTTGACTTAGATTAGCTTGATTGGTTTGGAAGCTTTTATTTACTCGGCATAAATTTGCCTTTATTTGCTTGGCTCAAATGGTTTGCATGGCATGTATTATTAGCAAGTTAAGATGAGAGTTGGTGCATTTTAGATTTTTCAATAGGCCAAGGTTGAGTTACAGAGACTAAACTCGGGCAATGGAGCAGGGCTTAAACATGAAAAATGGAATATGGATTAAAACATATGTTAAGTGGGAGAAAAAGTGTGATTAGAAAGCCTAAAAATTTTGAATGTGGTTTCTGCTAAAGGTGATATGTTCTTGGAAATGAAGCATGGAGTTACGTAGCTCGTAAAAATGTGATGACAGCGGTTGGATTTTGCAACAACTCAAGTTTAGGCAATTGGGGAAGCTTTTCCACAGGTTGCTCAATTACTCTTATGGGAGTTGTCATGGTAAATGGGGAGGTTTTTTTGGCAATTGACTTGGATAAATGGCATGAGCTAGGAACGGTCGTCTTGGTTGGGTTGATATGTTTGGCTTGAAAGGTTTTCATGGCAAGTTGTAATTTATCATGTCTCATTCTTAATTTCTTAGCTTGGCATGTTGCATGTGCATCGTTTGAACAGCTGAGGAGCTTGTGTGACACTATGTAGTTTTGTCTTTGGTTTGGCATGATGCATAGATTATGTTCGAACCATTGAGCGGCTTGCTTGGCATGTTGCATAGGCATAACTTGAAAGTTTATTAGCATGCTTTAAACTTTTTCTTGAGATTTCCCAATTTATTTGCTTGGTTTTGGCTCGCTCGAATGGTTTGCATGACTTGTAAAATAAGAGTTTTGCTTGGCCTATTGTAATTTTGCGTTGGTTTGACTTGTGAGGTTCTGACTTTTTGTTGGATACATGATGAAATATTAGTTATGTGCAGGAAGTCACACTGGAGCTAACGCTGGAAACTAATATTTCAACAGTTAGAAAGAAGAGTTTTTATGTTCTTGTTTATGCTTGGAACATTTCGGGACGTGTAATAGAATTTTCCTCATGAGAATTGAATAAATGACGGTGATGGAAATCTCAAGCAATGGGGTTTATCAAGAATTTTGTTGTATCAATGTTATAAAAGAACGAGTTGGATTAAGAGAGTAGCTTCCCGCTTCCATCGGATGAATATGCAGTGCTTGAAGGGGCAAGTATAGGAAGGTTTAATTAGAGGATGGTTTTATATGGAATTACCAAGGCAATGAGAGTAAGCATTAGGCCTGATAATTCCTGACACGACCCGATAATCCGACGTGATACGATACGAAATTAACAGGTGTTCGGGTCGACACGATAACGAATCGGGTCGTTATCGGGTAACTTGATAAGCACCTGTTAAGATAACGGGTTGATTCGGGTATACACGTGGGTAATACGATATACGATAAGCAGAATATTATTTTTATAATTTTATAACCCTAAAAAAATACTGTAATAATTATATATATTAATTTAACAATTTTATACCCCTAAAAACTATAATATATATATATATATATATATATTAAATTAACTATAATAATTATACCCCCAAAATATTAACTATCTATAATAATTATATATATATATATATATATTAAATTTTGAATTAAATTTTATAAAAACTATAATAATTATTAATTAATATGCATCCATTGATTTGATTCCATAATTGATAATTCCATTCCATTCCCTGCAGTGCTGCCCTTTTTGAAGAAAAAGAGAGGGAAAATGAAAATGATAAGAAAAGTTGAAAAAGAAACAAAAAAGAGAGGGAATTAGGGAAAGATGGGTAGGCACCATAGGCTGCCGGAGGGAAAAGTGAAAATTATAAGAAAAGTTGAAAAGGAAACAAAAAAGAGAGGGAAAAATGAAAATTAATAGAAGTGGTGAGAATTTTGTTTTTTTTTTTTAAGTTATTAACTTTTTATCACACATATAACATATCTCACTATTTTTATAATGACTCACGTGATGTACTACTCAGTGTACTAATCAATTATACGTACAAAATAAATAGATTTAAATCTACTTAATAAATAAATAAATATATATATATATATATATATATATAGACACACACCATTGAACTTGATGAGATACGAATTCTCCGAAACTAATTTCAACGATCCCAACCGTCAAACTTGTTTGTATATGCTTCGAGATCACATCAGCAAAAAATCACAAAAAACAAACATTCAGAGATCAAGTAACGGGACAAAGCTTTTCGACGGTGATAAACAAAAAATCACGATTTAACGGTTATTTTAACTTCGATTTTGATGATTTTTTACAGTTACACTCTTTGACCCTATATGAATACAATGAATGAATTCGATTTTCAATTTAAAATATTTACACAAGTGAATACCACAAAATCTTATGTTATACTTAATGAAAGCATAAATAAACTCTAAGTGGTAGTCAATCTATCGTTTTGATATGATACGAATTATCTGAAACTAGTTTCAACGATCCCAACCATCAAACTTGTTTGTATACGCTTGGAGATCACATCAGCAAAAAATCACAAAAAACAAACATTCAGAGATCAAGTAACGGGACAAAGCTTTTCGACGGTTATAAATGAAAAATCACGATTTAACGGTTATTTTAACTCCGATTTTGATGATTTTTTACAACTACACTCCTTGACCTATATGAATACAATGAATGAATTCAATCTTCAATTTAAAATATTTACACAAGTGGATACCACAAAATCTTATATTATACTTAATGAATATAAATAAACTCTAAGTGTTAGTCAATCTATCGTTTTGATGGGATACAAATTATCTGAAACTAATTTCAACGATCCTAACCGTCAAACTTGTTTGTATATGCTTCGAGATCACATCAGCAAAAAATCACAAAAAATAAACATTCAGAGATCAAGTAACGAGACAAAGCTTTTCGACGGTTATAAATGAAAAATCACGATTTAACGGTTATTTTAACTCCAATTTTGATGATTTTTACAACTACACTCATTGACCCTATATGAATACAATTAATGAATTCGATCTTCAATTTAAAATATTTACACAAGTGGATACCACAAAATCTTATATTATACTTAATGAAAGTATAAATAAACTCTAAGTATTAGTCAATCTATCGTTTTGATGGGATACAAATTCTCCGAAACTAATTTCAACGATCCTAACCGTTAAACTTGTTTGTATATGCTTCGAGATCACATCAGCAAAAAAATCGCAAAAAACAAACATTCAGAGATCAAGTAACAGCACAAAACTTTTCCACGGTTATAAACGAAAAATCACGATTTAACGGTTATTTTAACTCCGATTTTGATGATTTTTTACAGCTACACTCCTTGACCCTATATGAATATCATGAATAAACTCAATCTTCAATTTAAAATATTTACACTAGTGGATACAACAAAATCTTATGATATACTTAATGAAAGTATAAATAAACTCTAAGTGTTAGTGAATCTATTGTTTTGATAGGATATGCATTCTATGAAACTAGTTTCGACGATCCAACCGTCAAATATGTTTGTATATGCTTCGAGATCGCATACGCCAAAAATTTCAAAAAACAAACATTCAGAGATCAAGTAAAGGGTCAAAAGTTTTCGACAGTTATCAATGAAAAATCACGATTTAACGGTTATTTTAACTCCGATTTTGATGATTTTTTACAGCTACACTCCTTGACCCTATATGAATATCATGAATGAACTTCATCTTCAATTTAAAATATTTACACTAATGGATACCACAAAATCTTATATTATACTTAATAAAAGTATGAATAAACTTTAAGTGTTAGTGAATTTATCATTTTGATGGGATATGCATTCTACGAAACTAATTTCAACGATCCAACCGTCAAACATGTTTGTATATACTTCGAGATCACATACACCAAAAATTGCAAAAAATAAACATTCAGAGATCAAGTAACGGGGCAAAAGTTTTCGACGGTTATCATTGAAAAATCACGATTTAACGGTTATTTTAACTCTGATTTTGATGATTTTTTACATCCACACTCCTTGACCCTATGTGAATACAATGAATGAACTCGATCTTCAATTTAAAATATTTACACTAGTGGATACTACAAAATCTTATGTTGTACTTAATGAAAGTATGAATAAACTCTTAAGTGTTAGTGAATCTATCATTTTGATGGGATACGCATTCTATGAAATTGATTTCAACAATCCAACCATCAAACTTGTTTGTATATGCTTCAAGATCATATATGGTAAAAATTGCAAAAAGGAAACATTCAGAGATCAAGTAAAGGGACAAAACCTTTCGACGGTTATCAATGAAAAATCACGATTTAACGGTTATTTTAACTCCGATTTTGATGATTTTTTTACAGCTACACTCCTTGACCCTATACGAATACAATAATTGAACTCGATCTTCAATTTAAAATATTTACACAAGTGGATACCACAAAATCTTATGTTATACTTAATGAAAGTATGAATAAACTCTTAAGTGTTAGTGAATCTATTGTTTTGATGGGATACGCATTCTATGAAACTAGTATCAACGATCTAACCATCAAACATGTTTGTATATACTTCGAGATTGCATACGCCAAAAATTTCAAAAAACAAACATTCAGAGATCAAGTAATGGACAAAACTTTTCGACGGTTATCAACGAAAAATCACGATTTAACGGTTATTTTAACTCTGATTTTGATGATTTTTTTACAGCTACACTCCTTACCTATATGAATACAATAGATGAATTTGATCTTCAATTTAAAATATTTACCCTAGTAGATACCACAAAATCTTATGTTATACTTAATGAAAGTATAAATAAACTCCAAGTGTTAGTGAATCTATCGTTTTGATGGGATACGTATTCTATGAAAATAATTTCAATGATCCATCCGTCAAACTTGTTTGTATATGCTTCAAGATCGCATACACCAAAAATCGCAAAAAACAAACATTCAGAGATGAATTTGATATTCAACTTAAAATATTTACACTAATGGATACTACAAAATCTTATGTCATGATGATCGAAGAAAATTGAGGATTTTGTAAAAGGAATAACATGCAAGCTTTGAGTTCCATTGACAATGTTTAAACTTTTGAGAAAGGCTTCACAACCTTTAAAACAAAAACTCTTTCATTTTGCATATCATTGCACATTTAATATTTTGTAATAAATTAGTAGTGTATGGATGTTTGTTTATTAGGCTTTTATTTTCAAGTGTAGATGACAAATGTGTTTTAATGTTTTGAAGTAATATTTATGTGGCAATGTGTGGTATATGCAAATTTAAGAAAAAAAAAACATTTTTCTTAACGGGTCATAACGGGTCAGGTCACTTTACCCGCCTGACCTGTTAAGGACCCGTTAAGATAACGGTTGTGACACGACACGACATGTTAAAATAACAGGTGTTACACGAAAATGACACGAACACGACAGACACAATCCGTTTGCCAGGTCTAGTAAGCATGATGGCTTGGTGTAATGGTTCACGAAAATGTTACGTGGAAAGTATCACCAGCTGATGTTGACATAGCACCCAATAATTTCTCCATGTGCTACTGGTAGTCGACCGGTCCTTTGACTTATAATTTGTAGTAATTCATTTATATATAAATAGCCAATTAAAGAAAAACAAAAATATACATAAGAGAAATCAGATATAAAAGAGTAAAGCAAAAATGGTGACACAAAGATATAGAAGAAATGCATTTACTTTTAAAAGTTTATTTTCGTTTAGTTTTTTTCATTTCTTCCCTTTCATCCCATTACCCTTCATTACACTTTGTTCATCTCAAGCTCAAACAATGAAAAGCAAAAATAGAAAACAAAATGATTATCAAATAGACCCTAATATTAAGATTTCCATGTTTTTTACGAGGTCAATAAGAAATACAAACCCTTGACAACAACTTAATATGAGTCTGTCAAAGCTAATCACAATATGATGCACCAAAATCCCATTTTTTATTTTTTTAACAAATGATAATATTAGTGGATTAAATTTTAAGCTGTTAGGGAAGAATATGTGGAGATCGAATCCGTATCATAGTACATAGACATCATTGGTTTCCTCCAATAAAGCATCATCTTCAAAAAATATTCTCATATTTGAGTACAAGCTAAACCCTCAAAAGACATTTGCAAGCTTAACTGAGAATATGACAACAAAATTTAAAGAAGAAAGATATGAAATATATGATCTTAAAAATAGAACATGGG